TTGCATTCAAATTTAATCCCATCCATTACACTAACCTACTGTACAGCAGAGCGACATCCACGACTTACCCGCTTTTTAATAATCCTAAAACCCCAAAACGCTTAAATCAGACCCGAAATGTAAGTGCCATAACTTTTAATTAAAAGTACTATGTTACTTTAAAAAAAAAATTGAATATTTATTTAGATTTTAAAAATAACTAATTGTTTATTAATAAACGAACATATTATTAATTTTTAACACCAATAGGCTTAAGCCTTCTTTTAAAAATATTATTAACATTCAAATCCTTTAATTTACAAATAGAGTATGGAATCCCAGTTCCAGTTAAATCCAATCTCGGTTATTTTCTAACACTCACTAATGATCATTTTAATACACATACTCTTGCACATCCGCACTTGGAATATATTATATTATTAAGCAATATAAAGRAAACTATTTAAAAGCTATACCACTTCCCAGTTATCAGTTATCGTATAAAAATTATAGTATTATTTCCATTTCAATCACGGCAATATAATTTAATCATTTATGTAATTATAATAATTGGATGATAAATAAAGTAAATCAACAATGACATAAAAAATAACATATTGACCAAATAATTACATTTAATAACATTGTATAATAATCTATAGCTTATTTGTGAAACAATTGTATTTGGTTTACAGTCAGCAGAACATAAGTACTTAAATATTTTGCTCTTGAATTCTTGAATTTTTATTTAAATGTATTGTAAAATGTTGACATGTTGTGTTCTTATTACATTAATTTAATATTATTCCAATAATAACTTAAAATTAAATATTCTTTTAAAGTTATGTGTTTTTGAGTTTATAATTTCGATGAAACAGGAATAACTGAACAGAATAATATATTTCACATTCAAGGTAAATCTATTACTATTTGAAACATTAACTAAATAGTAAATATAAACCAATATCCAGAATAATATAAAATTCAGTAAACTGATACATTTTTTATCAATTTATAATAATTAATAAATTACTACAGTCTGTTATAACTTAAAATACCATTTACTATAAGCATCTATTGCACCGGAGTAAAATGTCATATAGTATTAATAATCCATTATTAATAAATTGTGTTTATAAAAAAATATGTTTATTTGTAAAAATTATAAAAGTGAACGGTAAATAAAAAATAA